TTTAGATGAAAAAAGACTTACTTTTTATGTATTTTCACAATTCATTTAAAGTTCAACATTTTTCTATTATCCATAATCTAATTCTAAAGAAATTCTTTTTATTTATTTTTTTAAAAAAAAATCTTTCTTTTATAAAAAAATAATAATAAAAATACTATTCAACACAAGAAATTTAAACAACCCAATTAGCAATTAATTAAGTCATAAATTTATCAACATAAGAAAGTACATGAAATTACATAACAGTCTAAACTTCAGAAGGAGTTCTTAAAGAAATACTAATTTCAGTTTAAGAAATCCAATCGATTTTGACATTTTAATTAGTAATATAAAAGCAAGGCTTATATTCGAGTAATTTCCCACATTAATAAATTACTGGAAGAATTAGTTATATTTCATTATTTACGCTTTCTTAAAATCTAAAAACATGATCTACTGTTTAATTGAAAGGATTAATTTATACTGTAAAACCTTTATTTTCATTTTCATTAACTATTTCAACCTAAATTTAATGAATGCCAATATATTTTTTTATGTGAACTGGATTTTTTTACATTTCTGTTTTTTTCTCCTTGTTTATCTTTCTTTTACTTTCTATGTCCACCTGTCTATATGTAATGTATTTAAATATTAGAATTATATCTTCTCCTGGTAAAAGTGTAAACGTAAAATTATATTTATCGATTATATTTGTGTTTTTAGGGCCTTCCATATTAAATTTTTATAATAAATATTACCATTCTTCTGGAGAACTAACAGGTGTTAATTCTTAATATCCTAAAGCAAAATAATCTGGATCTTGAATAATTATCTAGTAAGTTTATCTTTTAAAGCTTTTATTTATTACTTAATGTTATATATAATCCGTTTTACCGAAATTTACATTTAATTAAATATTATTGTTTTCTATATTTAATAAAATGTTTTATATAAGTTATTCTTTCTGCCTAATTTTTTATTTATTTAAAAAAGAATTTTTATAAAGTTTTTAAATTGCTATTTTTTTTGCTTATTTTATTAATTTATATTTTTTATATATATATTCGTATTTTTATTTTTATCAAAAAAATTACGCATCTTTTAAAATGTGTAGTTTGTTTTATTCTTATTATATTTACTAATCTTAATTATTACTTTTTATTTTAAATCTTTTAATTCTTTCTTTTTTTCTTAGTTCATTATCTTACTCTAATTTTTTAAAATTATCAATATTTAAATCCTACAGTTCTTATTTAAAACGATCTATATTTAAAGGAAACTTCGATTATACTTTTTTTTTACAATACCCAATATTTTTTTCATGTAAATTTTCTTCCTTTTTATAAAATCCGCTATTGTTTTTTAATTATTTATCTGTTTGAATAAAAATAATACTATTTTTTAACATACAACTATCATAATTTTCTATAATCCGCGTAAACTATCCTTTATTTGATAATTATATAAATAAATTTCCTAACTCTTGATTCAAATCTTTGTTTAAAATAGGTACTTTTATATATTTTTCTATCTTAATTTAACCTCTCCTTTAATAAAATAATGAATAAAATTTATTACAAATATATATATATATATACCTTAGCATATATCTTAAAGGAACTTTAACAATACCATATTAAATACCAGACTAAGCATCCCAAATATCAATAATCAAAGATTTGTTAAATAAAAAGTCGACAAATTATTAATGAATTTTATTATAAAAATGTGATGGATCAATATAAAAATTAATAAAAGGTTATCCTATTTCACATTCACTTTTTAAATATTTATCTGTTAATAAAATATTTATATCATTTTTATTTATTTTTTCTTATATTTTTTATTCATTTTCTTAATTTTCTGTGTTTTCTGTATTTTTTTATTCATTTTCTCCCTTATTTTATTCATTTTTTACCTTATTTTATTCATTTTCTGCATTATTTTATTCGTTTTCTGCATTATTTTATTAATTTACTGTATTTTTTTCCTAATTTACAATATTATCTGTATTTTTGTAATCATCTTATTAATTTTCTTTGTTCTTCTCATTATATTTATAAGAAAATACTTCACTATGAAACTCTTAAAATTAAAAAAAATTAAAAGTAAAGTAAGCTTTTTTGGGAAAAGGAAAATTTTAAATATTATTTTCTTTATTAAAGGCTAAAATCTTTACTTGGAACAGAGAAGCTTAAAATTTATCTGAATATCTATAAATATTTTTTTTATAAATAAATATATATAAAATACTCTTAAATTAAATCCTATTCTTCAATAAACTAAATATCTTAATATTCTTATTATTACTATTATAATTAATCTATTTAAACTCCATTTTCAAATAAATATTAAAGTTCATCTTTTTAAATATTTTAGATATTATTAAAATAATGATTATTTATTTAAATATTATTTAAAACTATTATATTATTATGCCTTTTTATAAAAAGATATAAAAAATAAATAAAAAATAAAAATACTTTTAAATCATCTCATTATTTAAAATGGTTTTTTATTCATTTTCATCATGTTTTTAAATTGGAAATTATTTATTTGTTTTTAATAAATCTTAAACAATAAATTTAATATCTTAAATTTCTTAATTCATTTATTATTTTGTAGTTAAATTTTCAAATTTAAATGTTTAAATAGTTTTATTTATAGTTTCTATTTTTTCTAAATAATAATCTAAATTTTTTATTTCTGATAATTACTATGCTAATATAAAAAATGAAAGATTTATAAAATAAAAAATGTAAGAATTTAAAAAAATTAAAAAATTAAACCTGTTTAGACTAAAAAAATATTATTATTATTATTATTATTATTATTATTATTATTATTATTATTATTATTATCACATATACCTAATTATTAATTTATATTTTAATATGAATATGGTTTTTTTATTTTTCTAATATATTTTTAATATTTTCATTTTATTATTAATTTTCTTCTTTTTATATATCGTCTATAAAACTTATACTTGCAATTAATTTTAATTCAATATTTTAATTTATAAAATTAAAGATTTCCATATTTTTTATATCATTTTCATTTGTAATTAACTTTTCATTAATCTTTATTTTTATTTTATAATATTTAAAATAATTTTTTTTTAACTTCGATTTTTTCTAATTCAAATTAATCATTTATATAATAAGGTAGAATTCCTATTATATATTCTTCTTAATATGAATTATTTTCATCAATATTAATATTAATTTAATATAAAAGTTAAAAATATAAAACAGAAGATAAACCTTAAAAAACATTATCAACAATAAATTTATTATTAAAACTTAAAACTTTATATTTCTATTTTATTCCTTTTTCATTTTCTTAATAATAAACATCTGAATCTTATAATAAAGCTTTATTATCTATTCCATTTGTATTTACAAAGTTCCAATTATTATGAAAGCCACACCCTAAATATTTCCTAAAAATAAAAATTATTTTTTTTAAAAAAATATTTACGTTATTTCAATTTGAAAAATCTTTTCTTAACTTAAATTAAATTTTTATTTCACTTTTTCTAAAAAAAAGTCTCGAATTTCTTTTTCAGCTTAGTCTTATACATGTATATTAATACCCTATATAAACAAATAAAAAGTTTTTTCCAATAAAATGCTTGTTTCTAAATCTACAGGCAATTAAATTTAAGTTGTTTCATTTTTCTTAACTCCCTAAAAATCTTCAAAATTATCAAAAAAGCAAAGAGGTGGAATCAAATGTTTTATTTTCTATAATTTTTAAAAATTAATTATTTCAATTTACATTTTTATTTCCAAATTATTATATTATTATATCTCTTCCTGTGTAAAATATCCATATTAATTTGTTAATATTTATTTCAATGTGATTTCTTATTTTCCTATCTATAATATGTTTATAAGACCTGTTCCAATTAATTAATTATCCAATACATTTTCTTAAGAATCTAATTCTTTATCACAAAAAGAATTTATATTTCTCATATAAATAAATATATAATAATATAAATATAAATTTATACAATATATATGAAGTTCAATTATCCCTATTAAATTATCTTCTTTTTAAGCATTTGTGTGATAATATAAAAATAGATTTTCTTCTTTTGGAAAAAAGTAATATTTTCCTTCTTTAGATAGTTATAAGAATGGAGAAGAATAATTATTTCCAACAAAGATTTTTTGTTTTTTGTTTAGTATTTTTAATGATAAAACCATATTTATTTTATCTGTAATTGACATTGAATTTACTTATTGATTCTAATTAAATGTTTGAATATTTTTTTATTTTTTAAATTTTAATGATTACTTTTTATTTAATATATAAAATATTTGAAATCGTTTTAAAACTCAACTAATATGGTAAGGTTTCATTATCATTAATTAATTAAGATTAATATTTAATACATTAATGTAAATTAGTTTTTTACATCCAATCTTTACATTTGATTTTTTAATCCTAAAAAATTTAATTCTTTTATTTTATTTTATTGATTAAAAAAAAAGTTAATTTATTTTAATGTTTTTTTTTATTTAATCTTAAATACTTTTTTGTTTTAGATTTAACTTATTTAGCTTTGGTTTTTTGAGAGCATATTGACTAAAAAGCTTTATACTTTTCTATAAATAAAATACTTTTTAAATAATAGTTAAATAAAAAAATATAATATATTTTTATATTATAATATTATAATAGTTTAACAATTTTTTTTTTTTTTTTTTCTTTTTTTTTTTTTTTGATTAAGTACCAAAATAAATAATTATATTTAATTTTTTTAATAAAAAAGTTTAAAAAAATTAAAAATTTAATATTATAATAACAATCCAATATAATTAATTTATAAAAAGAAAATACACAATTTAAAAAGGAACTTTAAAACAAGAAAATAGAAATTTTTAAAAATTAATATACATATTTTTTTTTTTAAAAAAATAACATTTATATTTATTAATATTTTAAAAATAAAAAATAAATATAATATTTAATGTATAGAACGCCGTAAAATTTTTAATAATAATAAGAAATCAACGGAGAATAAATCCAATAATAACAATAAAACATATTTTAAAAAAATGATAATCCAAAAGCATTTTTCTTTGGCTAAATTGTAGGAGGAGTAAACTTTGATAACTCTAATGGCTTATTTTGTGAAATGGTAATAGAAATAGGTCCTAAATGGAAACTTAAAAATTGTTTACAACAACCTTAAATAATACAATAAAATTTAATAGAAAGCATTTAAACTTAAACAGCATATGCAGATGTACATTTTTTATATAAAAGTGTAAAATAAACTATCTTTTTTTAAAACAAAAATAGCAAAATAATTTATTCTTATGGAGTCATCCATTTGATTTTGAATTTGAAACTAGTACAGTTAATGGCTGGTTAATATTTTTTATTTTTTAGTTTTATAATAATTTTTTAGGCCAAAAGCAATATTTAAAGTTTGGAATGTAGATTATCATAATAAAATAGATATAGGTATTTTATTTTAATTATTTTTATATTATAATATTTATGTTAAGTTTCCTATGGAATCATGAATTTCCCAAATCATTAAGGATTTCATAAAATAAAAATTAATACTTGGTCACCTTTAGGAAATTGGTAATATGGAAATCAATAAATATTCTTAGGAAACCAAGCACGCTTATCAAATTTAGATTTTGTTAAATATCATGAAGATAAGGACTCCATTTTAGGATAATCAAATGGATAAATAATTGTAGAGTTTGATGTAAATATAAAATATAAATTTTATAGATTTTTTTTTTTAAGGTAATGTTTTAAAATTTCGACTCTGATGTTATTGAAAAGGAAAACTGATATTTTTTATAAAAGAATTGTTTATTTTTTATAGTATACCCACATTTACATTTATATATTTTAATTTTTCTTTTTATAAAATTATTAATTGATAAATATATATATCTAAAATTAAAATAATAATAATAAAAAAATGTTCTCTTTAAAAAAATTTTAAAAGTAAACTCAATTTTTTTTTTCAATAAAATTTTTCATGCGTTAGTAGCCTTTAAAATTAAAATAAAAAAATTCGCGAAATTTATAATTTGATTATTTAGATGAAAGCGAATAATAAATTTTTATGGAAAAACAAAAATTATTATTAGAGTTTAAAGCAATATAAAATAAAATTCATTAATATACAATATCATGTACTGAAATAGATAGACTACAAGAAATATATGAATATTATAAAGAATAAATGAATTTATTTAATTATAATGCAATGTTTAAGTAATTCATTTAACTATATGAAACGAATAACAAAATAAATGAATTAAAACATATAAATTAAATTAAGGAAATAGTCGATTTTTTCAATGAAAATATACAATACATGAATCAAGATATGATTATAAATATCACAGATAATATATTAAAAATAGAGTATTATAATTAAGGGTATATTTAGCAAATAACAGACTTATAATTATAAAATAAGTGGATATACAATACTTAAATAATCACATATATAGTGTTTAATTAATTAAAACAAAATGAAAAAAATGAAGAATATTTTAATTTCGTATCAGATATATTGTAAGAAAACGTAAATAAAAAAAACTTTTTAAATAATAAAAAAATATCTTAGAAAAAATTAAATCCTATGGATTTATCAAAACTTTTCTATTATTATGCTCATTTTGATTATAAAAACATTAAGTTTTAAGAATTTATTGAAAAATCTATATTTAGAAATTCAAAAAAGTTTGATTTAAAAGTTATTTATTATTTATAAAAATATAAATATAAATAAAAAATAGTCTATATAATTAATTTTTGCCTGTTATTAAAAATATTTAAGGAAAAATTATGATGTTTTAGATGCTTTGTCTTATCGTTTGTTAGATTTAGAAGATTAGTTAAAATATGATGATATTATAAGGCTATTATTAGATGTTTGCAGTATGAATTATCAAAATAATCTTCTATTAAGTTTTATTGAAAGCAAATTCTTTAAAGAATTAAAGTGGAATTATTATAGAAAATAAGATATTTATGATGGAGAGTCTGTTCTTTCCAAATATATTAATTAAGAAAAATTAGAATAAGAAAAAGCAAATATATTAAATATATTTAAAGATGAAAATATTTAATAACTGGAATCAAATATTAATGAACAAAATTAAATTTTAAATGATAATTAAGGTCAAAATATAGAATAAAACTATAAATGTGAAAGTGAAGATTATAATGATGAATTTTTGGATGAAATTAGTGTTTCTACAGATCCTGAATCAATAAAAAATTTTTAAATAGAGTTTAAATAATAAAAGAAATTATTATTAGAAAAAAAGAATAAAATTTGCAAATTATTGGAACAAAATAAATATAGAAACATAAATATGATTAAATAGGTAAACGAAAAAACTATAGAGAAATAAATAATATTTAATCTTTTTTTAAAAAAAATAAAAAAGATGACCTTCATCCTAGCGATGGAAATATAATTTTATTATCTTTTTGTCATTTGAATATTGTCAAGAAAGATCTTTTTACAATTTTATTAACTAATTTTATTAATAAATATAGACAAACCTCTATATATGATATTGTTACTTATTCTTATGCACATTCTATGCTTTGTAATGAGTTATAAGCAGATTATGAATAAAATAAAAAATAATATTTAAAAAGATCTGATAAAAATTTAAAGTATACACTTTTTATAAATTTTCTTTCATTTTTATTATATAAAAAAAAGAAAGTATAATAATTATTTCTATGAAATTATTTTACCTTATATAGAGGAAAATATCGATAAGTTTGATTTCGAATAAATAATCAGTATTTTTAATAATGTTAATAAGCCGAGAATCAGCAAAAGAAACATAAAAAGAAATATTGTTAAATTAGGTATTAAATGTATTCCTAAAATGTTAGAATAAAAGTTTGAAAATGAAAAAGAAAAAAGCCTAAATTATATTAATTATTTAAAACTCATTTCCGAATTCGCTTATGATATTAAATTAAAATAGTAAAAAAATAATATATATACTATTATTTTTAATAAAAAATTATAATCTTTTTATTAATTAAGATACATATATTTTATTATTATAGATAATTAATTTAAGGATTTTAAGATAATTAAATTTATCTTGGTAATTTATAAGACAAATATTTAAGTTTGCTACCATAAAATATTGCTGAATTAATTAAAATAGTTAATAAAAAAGATTTATTGAAAATAATGATAAAAATAATAAAAAATTATTATGAGTTATATATATTTTATAAAATATAATATATAATTTAACCTTTAATATGATTTTTAGACTATTAAAAACAATAAATATAAATATAAAATATAAACTTAAATAAATTAATAAAAATTTATTTATCATAATACATAATTCAAAATTAAAAAAAAATATTTTATTTTAATATAAATTTTTATCTTTTAATTAGTTAATTTATTTTAATCAATTAAATAAATAAAATATGAATAATATTTAAAAAGTTTATTTATTTGATTTTTTTTATTTTATTAAAAAAACATTATAGAATAAAAATAATAGATATATAAAATTATTTTAAAAAATAACTAATTAATAATAGTTTTTAACTAAAAACAATATATTATTTGTTTCTGATAGTTCTATTCTGTTTTTTTTTTTAAAAAAAATAATAATAATAATAAATTAATTTAATATGTTAAATTTATTAATTTAATTAAAATTATTTTCGAAATCATTTGAAAATTTCATAAAGTTTTAGATATATTTTATATATTGATGTATATATATACAATTATATTTATTAGTACTTATACACTTTAATTTATTTAATTTTAAAATTTATTTCTTCTTTAAATTATTATATAGATATTTATTAAGTTTTTTATATTATTTTATACAAATTTATTTAGAAAATAATAAGAAATATTAAAATTTAATATATAATAAATATATTTATTTATCTTTTTTTTTATAAAATATAAATATATATTTGTTTCATAAAATTAAATAATATTTTTTCATAATTTTATATACATATCTTATTTTTAAACATTATTATTTTCATTTTTTTCTCTAATATTTTTTAAAGAGTTATATCAAAAATATAAAATTTAATAAAATTAATTATTGCTTCTTTTTTTAAAAAAAGAACATAAAAAGCCATAATATTTTTTTTTTTTTCTAAATAAAACTTTTTTTTGGCTTGAATCATAAAAAATTGATAAAAATGATATAAATAGAAAATATTTATTAAATAAAAACTAATAAATAAATATATTAAATTAAAATTTATAAAATCAAATATTAATAAATAATATTTGTTGGAAAAAACGAATTTAAAACATTGATTTTTTTCATATTTTTATAATTCTAAAAATTTATTAATATTATTATAGTTGAGTATATCAATTAATTTCAGATAATTTTTTATAATTTTTATTTTCTTTATATTAAAAAGGTATAACATTTTATTTTATTAATTATTTTTTTATTTAAATTTGCATTTTTAATTTTAGTTTCGTAATAAATTATTTTTAAGATTTTTTAAAAAATTATAATTAGTATCGTAATTTTTATTTTTCTAATATTTAAAATAATTATCTTAAATTTTAATATATTATTAAGATTCTATATTATTTTTTTTAGAAAAAAAAAAATTTAAATTAAAAAAATTTGGTTTTTTTTTAGGAGAGTATTTTAAACATATTTGTCATAATTTATACATAAATATATTTATCTATTTACATAAATTTTAATCTTCATCTTTAAAAATCACATTATTACCTATATTATTTTTATAATTAAATTCTTTATCAAATAATTGATATATTAAATTACTTTTTATATAACTTAATATTAATTTTAGATATATATATATATTTTTTTATATATAAAAATGATTGAAAAATTTACAATAAAAATAAAAATATATATAATATCGAATATACATTTTATAAATAAATATAATATGATTTATAAAACTTTATAAATATATATTAAAAAAATTATATATATCTAATAAATTATATATAATAATTTTTCATTATAAATATTTTATTATCAAATGAATTAA